TAAAGGCCAGCATGACCCCCCCCCCCCCCCCCCAGCAGGCAACACCACTGAGAATCCCCAACGCCGTAGGTAATAAGCGTGAGCTGCCCTCGGGTTGCCAACCTGTCACTGGATCTGCCTGCTCTGCATCCGGGTAATCTCAGTCTCCACATGGGTGGTGGCAATGGACAGAGGACACGGCTCACCTGCTGAAGGAACGAAGAGGAAAGAAAACTTTCTTCTGTTTGCTCTAACGGAGATAAGGTTGTTGGGTACCAGCTTCACCAACTGCTGCTGGTCGCCCAGAGGCATGCAGTACTCTTCTCCAGTCTCTGTGTAGTGGCCGTCTGCTTCGTAGAAGAGCACATCCTCGTGCAGCTCGCCTGGGTCTTCCTCCTGCAGTAACGCGTCAGGGAGTGCCCCCAAAGCAGTAAGTATGTCGAGCCCGCCCCACGCTGCTGAAGTCTCTGCTGCCATCTGCAGCAGCCGAGGGTGCAGTGGAGGCATAGACAGCGCTCGCATCAAGAACTTGTTTGGGAGCGGCGATCCTTCGATCCCAGAGCTGTTGCCTCTCTTGTCTGCTGCAGCCTCATCTGAAGTCGCTGCATTGCCCTTGGCCATGCCGCTGCTTTTAACAGATTCATGAACTCGATCTCCAAGAGTGGCTTCGTTGGGCTCCGCTGCATGCAGCGGCTCCTCCCGATGCATTGCCGCTGAGGGCCCGCCTTCACTCGCCGAGGTGTCTGTATCTTTGGCCCTGTCTCTAGTGCTACCCTCGCACCCAGCAGTACTTCTTTCGGACGAATCCCTCCCCCCTGACGAGGCTTCTGCTGTCTCTTTTTCTCCCGGTTGTTCTGGGGGTGCCTCTGCGGGAGACAGACTCTCCAGCGGGTACGTGGGGGCCTGCGGGCTGCAGGACGGGGCGCCTCCTTCAGGTTTCTCCTTTCCCGCTGCCTCCTCTCCTGTAGGTGTCCTCTGGTGTTCCTTGGGCCCCTGCTCCATACTCGCAGCGCTTGCGGGCTCCTGCAAGGCTTCAGGCTGCCCAGAGATGGCTCCAGCTGCCTCCGCCGCCTCGGGGGCAACCTCAAACGAAGCAGTTGGCAAGAGGCCTTCGACTGCATATCCAGTCCTCTTATGCATCCCTGCAAAGAGACCCTGCAGAGACACTCCCTGCATGGCTCTGTCTTTCTGTGGGTCTTTCTTATCACTTGTCTCTTGTGCCTTTGAAGGCGTCTCTGTGATCTCCCCCTCACCTCTTGCTGCAACCGATCCTAATACACCAGCATCTCCCCCTTCACGGCAGCCGACCAACAACTCAGTAACAGATGCTTCGGAGGCCCCGAACCTTTCCTTTGCCTGCCTCGGAGAGGCTGCCCTTAGACCCGCTCCAGCATACAAGGGAGCAAGCGTCGCACTACCCCACGTTCGAGCCAGCTGCCTCGAAGCATCCGGCGACAGCTCCCTAGAAGCACTACCTCCGGCGGCACTAGCCGAACGAGCTGGCCCAGGTGGAGCAGCAGCAGAAAGGGCGGGAGCTGCGGATGCAAGTCCATCGGAGGCTCTGTTAGGTGAGGAGACGGCGTCCTGAGCGAGTTTTGAGCTCTCTTCGAAGTCGTCTGTCAAGGAGGGGAAGGAGAACGGGGCTGGGGTCTCCTTCATGAAGTCTCTGCTCCTTTCACTAACGAGCCTCATCAAGCCAGACACAGAGGAGAGAAGGACGCTGCCTGCAGCAGGCGCCCATGAAGGTGCCTCCGCAGAGGGGTCCGTAGGAGGCTCCAAGTTGTACTGACACTCCAAACGCATCTTAGCCAGACCCAAGAAGAGAGCATCCCACAGAGGCTGCGAGGACGAGTGAGTGACATCACACGAGGCACCGCACGGGAGGGAGCCTTGAAAATATTACGGTGACACAGCATCGAAACACCCAGTCCCCCTTCTACACCAAAGAGAACTGAGATGCTCAATCATTGCCATATCACTCTGTTTCCTTCTCTAGTGTCTCCCTACATCTACATCTGCTCATCCTCCCCCCAACTACTCTATGTGCTACATGAACTAGAGGCTAGTGTTTGGAGACAGAAGGTCTCGAAACGAATTACTATGTGTGCCTTCCTGCCCTGCTGCATCCCCTACCCCTCAGAACCCCCCTCATATCTGATTTTTGTTATCTGCTTCTGTCGCTGTATATATACGGTCCTTCCCATCCACGTCTCTATAAATAATGGCTTGCCTCTGTAGTATTCGAAACAGATAGTGCGTAGTATCCCGGCTGGGTGATGGTGACGTCGAAGAGGCTTGAGTAGACCTATCGACATCCAACTCACAACATAACGTAACGCAACCTAAGCCGGTTGCTTCGCTGACCCCACAGCCCCACTCACGCCCCCACCACGAACCGCCGTGAAGATCTGCTTTGAACAACAAATAATGCAGCTTGGAGGTTGTGCATCTCAATTACACAACAAGCAGTCTTCACTGATGTAGTACACACACCAAACAGAAAGGTGAAAAGCACCCACACACCCGGTCCTATTCCCTCATTTGTTCCCCCCCCCACAGCTGCGAGATTGTCAGATCTCGCAGCTGTGGATCACTTGGAGCTGCTAGGTTCAAAACAATGCGACAAGGCAAGAGAATCATCACAACTAGAGATTGTTCTGTAACAAATCAACCGGGAACAACACAACACGGAATGGTGAGGCAGAGCTGAGGCATAAGAGAAGATGTAAACCTCACGGGTCCCCTGCTGAGAGTCATCTCTTTGACGTCTTTATCCGAGGGAAAGGACAGCCTCACAGGCTCCTGATTGGAGGCACTGAAGTTGCAGCAGTTCATTTTGGCCGGCTTCTGTCCTCACCAATGGCCGAAGACGGGCTAAACTTCCTTTGCTCAGTGAGTGAGTGACTGACTGTGAGAATGCAGGAAGCATCAATCAATGAGGAAGCTGAAGCAAATGAACGTACAGTTTCAAATCTCCACCACACAGCTCCTTATCAGCAGCCGACAGGTGGCAACGAAGAAGCGTGTGCAACCCTTTGGGAAGAGTAAACTTTACAGAAAAGAAATCAATAAAGGGAAAAGCAGTTCAAAGATGCAGAGAGGTGACCAACAACTGTTCTAGGCACTGGGTGACCTCAGGGCAGTGGGAGGGGCCAGTTCAAGCCACGCCGCAGCAACTACGTACGTTGCTTTTGGCGACTTCGAGGTGTAGAACCGATTAAAACAAATACAAACACAAGCAAGAACGGCAAAATGAGAAAACGGAGTGCAGAACCCACAAACATCCCGAAGCCAGCCAACTGCAGGTGTCTGGACCATCCCGTCAAGGGAGGTCTCGATGGGTTACAGATTTCAGCAATTCTTTCCATTTATCTTGTTAACAATTTCATTTTATTGTAATTCAAATAAACTATTTAATTTGCCCTTGACGTCTCTGGTGTAACTGTAGACGGGTGAATTATTCACGTTGTTAGCGACACAGCACACGGTTTGCTGAGGGGCCGGAGCAGGCCAACCTTGTGTGTTGCATTGCGCAACTCTCCATCTTCTTCAGTACCCACCCGTTCGATTGTTCTCTTGCTAAGCCCGGCTTCTGTTTGTTTGATTATTTAACTCTCCCAGTCGTTGCCAGGTCGGTTTTTTGCGCATTGTGCACGCGGACACCCCACGGGTACCAGTTGTCGAGAATTGAGTCCCTAGTGCTTGATACAATGCAGAACGTGCGTAATATTGGAGAATCACAGACTATCATACGAACTCTTCAAGTGGCCCTCACTACTATGCCGAACAGCCCTGGGGCCCACAATGATCCCTACACTTGCCCAATACATATATATAATATAGATTACACGACTCTGCACAAGCGTTATATATATATATA